CTGTTATATTATGCTATGCTCTGTTGTGTTACGTTATCTTATATTATGTTGTTATATTATGCTGTGCTATGCTATATTAATTATATTATGTTATACTCATTTTATTATATTATATCATTATAATCTCGAATGTTCCAAAAGTCTTGGTGTCATTTTAAGACTTTTGGGATGCCCCATATATTGGCAGGTAGGTGGTGCAGTGCATAGAGCAGTGTCCTAAGAGTCAAGAAGTCCAGAGTTCAAATCCAGCCTCAGAAACTTCCTACCTATGTGACCCTGGACAAGTCACTTAATCTTGTTTGCCTTGGTTTCCTCATCTGTAAAATGAGTTGTAGAAGGAAATGGCAAACTACTACAGTATCTTTACCAAGAAAACCCTATGGATGGTTGGTCCATGGGGTCACAAAAAGTCAGATACAACTCAACAAACAAAAAACAACAAGGTCCTTCAGGCTCTACAGCTATGATTCTAGCCCATTGCAACATTATTGTTTCCTTCTTTTTTGCATGGCAATGTGTAATATTTCAGCTACATTATAGGTAAGCTGGATTGTTTTTGTGGGCCACCCTGGAAATCTAAAGACCATTTGTAGCACCGTTATCAGGGGAAAATATATTCCTAGTTCGAACAACTAACACTTATATTCCAAAAGTATGCTTGCAAGACAGAGAAAGCCTCAGCTTGTGGAAAATAATGACATTGGGAAGTGGGAGGGGTAGTGACTGTGATTTGCCTGTTATAGAACAGAGAATGTTTGTTGACATTTCTTACTTTCCTTCTGCCTTATGCCAGGATCAGTACGTTTCCAAGTTAAGGATGCCAGCTTCCTGGACAGGTCCAAAGGAAGAGAATTTCCTCATGAGTCTGGATTTCTGGGGTTTCAGCCAACAAAAGGTCTGACACTCCTCTAAAGTAATAGGCCCTTTTTGCCAAGACTATCTCTAACTCATGTGTTACATAATTAAAAGAAATCATTTCAAACAATGGTAGGGACTGATTTTTATTAATTTATCACACTGGACACAAAAGATAGTACAATCCTATCCCTTACAAAAAAAGAACAATTTTTTTCACTTTTTATATAATAATTAACCTACCCCACTTTTTTATTTATTTTCATTCTGAATTTAACAAATACTGAAAAAAGATAGATATTTCCATATGTGAAGTAACACAAGAACCACAGATATCTATTGTGTACAGCTTATTTTTTTAATAATGTCATAAATTTCCCCTCTAGGCTTCAATGCTGTCTTGCTTGTCTGTGATTCTTTCTGGCCTTCCTTCGGTTTGCTTCTGCGCATTTCTTTTTTAAAGATGCCTCAATGACCCGACCCCCTTCTCATTCTCACTCTATCCCATTTCCCTTCTCCTTTCCATCCTCATTCCAATAGAAAGGAGGGAAAAAGCTCTTTAACAAATATATAGAGTCAAAATATAGAAATATGTTTTGCATGACTACACATGTATAATCTATATCAAATTGCTTGTCATCTATCTAAGGGAGGGAGGAGGAAAGGGAGGGTGGAAGAGAATCTGAAACTCAACTTTAAAAATGTTAAACATTGTTTTTTACATGTAATTGGGAAAATAAGATATTATTTTTAAATATAGAGGGTAAAGCAAAACAAATTCCCACATTTACCAAGGTGTCCAAAAATCTATGTCCTATTCTTTATCTTGATTCTATTACCTCTGTGTCAAGAGATAGGTAATTTATCCCACTTTGGAACCTTTCCTGATAACAAATACAGCTAAGCAGTATGCAACATTACATAACCATAGGCCATCACTGTACTAAAGGGAGAGAATGTGTTTCACCATTGGCCTTTGGAACCAAGAACGGCGGTTGTATTTAATCTAACTCCTGATGTCGTTTTGTTTTGTTTTCTTTTACATTATTATAGTCCTTGGGGATACTGTTCCCTTGATTCTGATTTCTTTGTTCCCCAGCATCTTCCCACGTTTCTTTCAATTCCTCATATTTGTCATTTATTGCAATGCAATAATATCCAACTGAGATGCAGTAAAGCCACTTGCCAACGAATGGGCACCCACTTTCTTTCCAGTTTCTTACAAGCCATGGTTCCTAATAGCTACGAAAGGCACACAGCACTTAGAGGTAATGCATTTTTTTAATCTATGTGAATTATGAAAAAATAAAGAACAAAGAAACATTACCAAAAAAAGCTTAGCTAAGCCCTTAAAATGTATTAAATCCAGGAAAAAAAGAATTTGTTTTTCTTTTTCCAAACAAGAGGGGCAGAAAATGTTATAAAAGGCAATCATCCAAAAAGCAAACAGACCAAAAAACAAAACAAAAACAAAACATGGATTAGAAGAAGAGAACATTCTCTAAAAATACAAAGGAGGCCACTCGAAAGATAATAAATGGCAAGAATGTATACACTAATGGGTATCAGAAATATTAAGACTATACAGGCTCTCCCCTGGGTCTGTGTCTGGGACTATTTGCGTTTAGTCTGCTTTAAAGTTCGTTGTGGGTTCACAAAACTTGACTTTGTGACATTTATAGTTTTTGAGGAAATTTAAAAGCAAAGCACGACAGCCTCTGACTAGACGCCAAAATCAACAGGCCAGCCCATAAATGCCTCAAGAGGCCAGAGAAGAAGAAATCTGGAAGGCAGTCAAAGGAAGCATCATAATCCTCATGGAAGAGGCAGATGAGATGATGCTGAGCTCACCAGACAAGCCCTTGGGACTTTCAGCTCCACATTTAAAGGAGGGTCATTGTGCCACCCGGGAATGCCAGCTGTGACTTTGTGGTTTGCCTTTTCAGCACATGTGGGAACACTTGGTGTGCCAAGTTCGAGGATGTTCTTAGCTCTTTTGCAGATACACAGCAATTGAGCAAAACCAGAGTTCTACTGAAACTGGGGCAATATCTTACTAGAACTTGGCAAAAGTGGGAGGAGATAGAATATTGTGTCATGGGAAGGGTACACACTCCGGAAATTGGACTTGCTTATTTTTAAGACAAACATCTATTGAATATTGAATCACATATGACATTATTCATCAAACTAAAGAAACCAAAACTTAATTTTTAAATTAGCAATTAAATTTTACTATAATAATAATGACAGTAGCTAGAATGTGTATAGTACATTAAGGTTTGCAGAGCGTTTTACATGTGTTATCTCATTCAGTCTTGGCAATAATCCTGTAAGGAAGAAGCTATATTATCCAGCCCATTTTACAGATGAAGAAATTGAGGCTGTGCTAGGTTAAGTGATATGCCCAGGATCATACAGGTGGTAAGTGTCAGAGACACAGATTCAAACTCCTCTTCCTGACTCCAAGTCCAGTGCTCTATTCACTGCCAAAATTAGACACAAAATAGCAAAATATTTTCCCTTATTACCATCCAGTGAAGTAGATAGGAGGAGACTGGTCATTCCCATTTTACAGATGAGGAAATTGAGACTCAGATTGTAATTTACCAAGGGTCATTAAACCAGGAAGTATCAGAACTAGGATTCTAACCCAATTCCTACTGATTCCAGGCCTGGTGACCTTTTTACATGCTCAAGACATACTGATTTTTCTAAAATTGACTGATATATATGTTTTTACTAATTCCTCTCCATTATCATCTGGGTTTCATTTTTCAATGACAGCAAAAGATGGGAATTATCTGGTCAGTGGGGTATAATCTACACAGCTAATACAGAGAATTCAAACAGAGATAAATCTTCTGGCCTGAGTGATTTTAAGTGAGTGAATAAGAATAACAATAATAGCTAACATTTATATAGCACTTACAAAATGCTTTACTATTATCTCATTTGATCCTCACAACAGCATTAGAAGATAGATGCTATTATCCACCCCCTCCCCATTTTACAGATGAGGAAACTGAGACAAAAAAAAAGATTAAGTGACTTGCTCCAGGTCACACAACTATTCTCTGGGGCCACTTTTGAACTCACCTCTTTCTGGGCTATTAAGACAGTATGAGATTCCCTGCTTATTGTTCTGCTTCCCTTTGGGGTTTTAGGCATGTCACATTGTAGACTCATGCCAAGCAAAGATGTAACTGATTTAGGAATCCTTCTACAAAAGGAATTGTAAATCAATTGAAAAACATTTGTTAAGCACCTATTATGTGCTTAACAGAGGGAACAAAATCACAAAATGAAACAGACCCTGACTCCAAGCAGCTTACATTCTATGGGAAGTTATATATAGATGTATGTGTTTGTATATATGCATACACATATCCATATATGGTTTCCAGTGGTGTGTGAATGTATGTACGTATGTATGTGTGTATGTAAAAAAAAAAAAAAAGAATCAGGACATTCTGCATTATTTTATTGAAGAAGGAATTTTAGTGAACGAAAGAAAGTGAAGAAACTCCTTCTACCAATGGAGGCTGACACCTTCTCTGCAGTGGAAGGACTTTCTTCTGGGAGCACTGAGAAGTTAAATGACTTCCCCTGGGTCACACAGTCACTGTGGATGGGAGGGAAGAGTCTGAACCCTCTACGTCTAGCTTTCTATTCACTATACCTCACTTTATCTTTTTATTTCAAATAACAAGCATTTTTTTTCTCCCTCTCATACCTCCCTAACTGAAAAAGAGAAGAACGCCAAACACAGTCAGTTACGCTATCACAACATATCCATCCCCCAAAAAGCCCTGCAATGCAAAATCCAGCAGTAAAAGCCACAAGGGGGGGAGGGGATTTGAAGGCTCAAAAACTTCCTCTGATACATGTTTTTAAAAAATAGAAACCTAAAGAAAATGGTAACAGGTTTTATATGTTAAATGATTAAGAAATACATAAATACTACAATAAATAGCGGCCATGGCCACACCCTCAGGCTGCAGCAGCAACATGGGCAGGAGGGGTTGGGTTGGCTTTGACTCTCCAGACCATGGCGGAAGGAATGGAGTTGGCAGGGTGATGCGGCACGTTCCTCCTCTTCTTCCTCCTCCATTAGAGGATATAAAATAAATATGGTGAGTTACCTTGGCAAAGCCCTGAAGTTTGCTTCGGGCAGCTGGTGCTCGAACTCCATTCCAGAGAAACCAATAGTGGGGGACACGAGGAACCCCCACCGTGGGATCCTAGTTAGTAAGGTCTCCCTATGACCTGGAACTGGAGACCTCTGGCCTGGCCTCTTCTGTGACGTGCGCAGGGGGACCAGCCCCCTCCCATGCACAGTTCGAGGCCCGTTTCCTCTGAGTGTACCCAGTGGGGGAGGGGAGAGTCAAACGGGCAGGGTCATATCTGTTCACTGTGGGGAAGTACATTGTGGGTGGGGGTGAGGTCTCCCTATCTTCCCTTCTGTGTCTCCCTCTCTAGGCCTCCACTTCTCACTCCCCAGAGTGTTATGCCCCTCCCTGAGAGTAGCTTTCATTGCATCCTGGGTGAGGAAAGAGGACCCCACAGCCTTTTCCCCCAGTTGGCTCCAGACCTCTTGTTCCACAGGTCCCACTCCATGCTGGTGTCCTTCCTCTCCTTGCCCCTCCTGCCCAATTCATATGTAAAGATCATTCCTATGATGTAGGCATCACCGCCACGATGCAGTTTTCCTTGATAACAGAATCACACAGAAGCAAACACAAAATTCTTGTTATGCTCAAACTGTTCTCTAGCGCATCAATCTCTTTGTGTTTTCAAAACAAATATTAAAGCAGAACTGCCCATACCTATCGTCAAGCAAACCAAAATCTTGACTTTGCCATGCCTAAAAATATGAGTCTTACTCTGCGTCTTATGTAACATGCTTCGTCACTGGTCTTCTAGAATTGTGGTTGATAAGTCCATTGATCAGTTATCTTTTTTTATTTGTATTTTATGGAACAAAACAAGTGGAGTTGTCTTTTAAAGTTGTATCTCTTTACAACGTTGTTGTTATCTTATAAATTGTTCCGCTTCTGTTCACTTCATTTCTATTTAAGTTCATACAAGTCCTCCCAGGTTTCTCTAAAACCATCCCTTTCATCATTTCTTAGGGCACATTAGTATTCCATTACATTCTTATACCATAATTTGTTCAACCACTCCCCAATTAATGGAAACCCTTTAATTTCCAGTTCTTTGACACTACAAAAAGAGCTGCCATAAATATTTTTGTATTTACAGGTCCTTTTCTTCTTCCAGCTCATTGGAGTAGAAACTCGGTAGTGGTAAAATTGGATTACTATACACAGTATAGTAACTTTCTGGGCATAGTTCTAACTTGCCTTTCCAAAATGGCTGGACCAATAAATTTATAGTTCCACCAACACTGCATTAATGTGCTTGTTTTCTTGCATCCCCTCCAACACTTAATCATTTTCCTTTTTTGTCTGATAAGTGTGAGGTAGAACATCAGAGTTACTTTAATTTTCATTTTTCTAATTATTAGTAACTTAAAACATTTTTTCATATGGCTGTTGAAAGCTTGGCTTTCTCCCCCTGAAAACTACCTGTCCTTTGCCTTTTACTATTTATCAATTGGAAAATGGCTCTTATTCTCATATATTTGAATCAGTTTCTTTATATACCTTGGAAATGAGACCTTTATCAGACAAACTTTTTACAAAATTTTCCCAGTTATTTCCCTTCTAATTTTAGCAACATTGCTTTTGTTTGCACAAAATCTTTTTGATTTTGATTATTCAAAATTGTCCATTTTATCTCCTGTGATCCTGTCTATCCTCTGTTTGGTTAAAAGTCTTCCCCTCAAATGGCTGGACAAGTTGTGATATATGATTGTGATGGAATACTACTATGCTGTAAGAAATGACAACAAGATGGTTTCAGAAAAATCCACCAAGACATATGAACTCATGCAAAGTGAAGTGAGCAGAACCAGGAGAGCATTGTATACAGCAACAGCAGCATTGTAAGGATGATCAACTGTGAAAGACTTAGCTACTGTAATCAAGATGGTAAATGCTATTCATCTCCAGAGAAAGAACTGATGAACTCTGAATGCAGATTAAAACATACTTTTTTAAACACTCTATTTTTCTTGAGTTTTTTGTCATGTTTTCTTTTGCAACATGGATAATATAGAAACAATTTTTGCATGACTTTACTTCTCATTGGGGAAGGGGTGAAAGGGAGGAAATTAATTTGGAATGCAAAATTTTTTAAATGGTTGTTTTAAAAATAATTACATGTAGTTGGGAAATATTTAATGAAATAAATAAAAATATATTTTTAAAAAGTCTTCCCTTCAGGGAGGTGGGGAGGGAAGGGGAGAAAAATTTAAAACTCAAAAGCTTATGGAAATGATTGTTGATAAAACTAATTAATTAATAATAAAAATTCTTCCCTTTTTCATAGATTCAAAAGGAAATTTCTTCTTTGCTTCTGTAATTTATATGACCCTTTCTCTAAGAAGCACAGTGGATAGAGTGCTGGGCCTGGAATCAAGAAGACCTGAGTTCAAATATAGACCTCGGATAAGTCACTTAACCTTGGCTTGCCTTAGTTTCCTCAACCAAAAAATGGGGATAATAATAGCGCCCACCTCCTAGGGTTGTTATGAGGGCCCACTGAAATAATAATTGTAAAATGTTTAGCACAGTACCTGGCACATAGTAGGTATTTAATAAATGCTTGTTCCCTCGTCTTTCTGCTGCTTTAAAATAAAATAAATACAAGAAATTTACAAGAGGAGGCACTAACATCTCAGGGGATCAGGAAAGGCTTCCTTCAGAAAAAAGGTGGTGCCTGAGCTAAGCTTTGAAGGCAACTTAAAACGAATGTCAGGAATAGTTGGCAGCGTGGGGGAGTAAGAAGAGCCCTGGACTAGAGAGCTTACTTTAAATCCAGATTTTGCCACTTCCTAGTTGGAACATCAAGCCCATGAAAAAGAGTAATATGAACCATATTGACTGGAACCAGATCCTGGAGAGCTCTAAATGGCAAGAGATTGGTTTGCTTTTTCTCTTAAACGCAATGGGGAGCCATTAGAAGTTTGGGAGGGGGTAGTATTAGGAAGATTTTGGGAGCTGTGCTGCAGTAGAAGGGGGAAAGATTGGAGTCAGGAAGGCCAATTAGGGGACCATCACAAGGGTCAGATATGCAATGATGGGGGCTATGTGGTAGAAAGAGGGAACAGAGGAGAGAAATATTGTGAGGGTAGAATCCATAGGATTTGGCAACTGGTCAGATAGCAGTTAGAAGGAGGCAAGAGAGAAGAGTCAAAGGTGACTCTGAAGTAGAGGAGTGCAAGTGCAAGAGGTAGACTCTATAAATATGTATGTGCAGGGCAAAATAAATGCCAAATGAGCAGTACAAATGAAAGGCTCTGTCCAAAAGTGCCCCAATAGAGGAGTCATTTCCTGCTGGGGCTATCATAAGATCAGAAATGCAGAGCTAGAATGGACCTCAGCCACAGTCCAACTCCCTCATTCTACAGATGGGGAAACTGAGGCACACAGAAGGGAATTAATTGTAAAAAGGTCATAGGATCATCCTCTTAGAACTAGAAGAGACCTCACAGGTAATTGAGACCAACTCCCTCATTTTACGAGTGAGGAAACTGAGTCCCAGAGAGGTGATGTTACTTAGGATTACAGACCCAAAGGGACCTTAAAGGCAATCTAGTTCCTTGATTTTTACAGATAAAGAAACTGAGACCTAGAGAGGTGTAGTGGCTTCTGATCACAGATTTAAAGCTAGAAGTATCTTCCAACTCCCTTATTTACAGATGAGGAAAGTGAGGACATAGTGGTTAAGTCACTTGCACAAAGTCATTCAGGTGACAGGTCCAGAATTTGAACCCAGATTTTTCAAGTCTAAATCCAGCACTCCTTCCAGGGGAGGCATAATGAAAGAAGAGTCATTCTTTGGACAGGAGTTGGCCTGAATATCCCCACGGGCCTCTTTTATCTCTGGGATCCTAGGGTTCCATGTCCTGTCTTTTTTTTAATTTTATTTTGTTTTTTGAAATCTATACAAACATTTATTTTGTTCCAGCTGAAAGGAAAGGGGAAGAAAACTAGGCAGGGGAGAACAGCACCCATAATAAAAAACAAACCCCATAAATTCAGCAGAAATAAGAAACAAAGTTACAAAAGAACAGGCCGATGTTTTCATATCACCGATTCCAGAGCTGCACCAGACACTGATATTCAGGGAAAGGGCCAAGGATGCTACCCCAGGCCACTGTCGTTGGCTGAGCAAACTGAAGTTGTGTTTAAGACTTCTGAGTCACTCCCAGAGCTCAGGGCGGAAATGCCTAGATCACGGTTGGTTCATCTCCATGAAGACACAGAGGTACCAGAATGCACCAAAAGACATGCTGCTCAATCCCCCTCCTTGGGAGGTGACTCTTTCTCTCCAACAGGAACAAACTCAGGGAAATGGGCAAGATACAAAAACCAGAACGAGGCTGAGGTCCTGTCTTGATGAAGGGAAGTTTCCAACAAGTATGGTGTATCATTAAAGTAGCCCAAATTCTTTGAAGTGTTTCCCATCTTTCTTTGCTCACATGCTGTCTGCCTAAATATCCACCCAGGTGAATATTTACTTGATAATATCTATCAACTGTCAAGGGACCATACATAATTATATGAAACTACAGAGAGAGTGCAGACTGCTCAGGGGCACAGTTCAAATCCCTGGAATAACCAGTTTGAGACAAATCCTTACAGGCTCCTAGAAGGAAAAGGGTCGTTTCTTTCTCCTCACCTTCTGTGGTAAAATCTTTCAGCCCAGAGATCTTGGAAGGGCCTCTCAACACTCCTGCCACAGGATTTTCTGCCTCTTTGAATTCCTCTGTCTTCTGACAGTAAGCGTTTGTCCCACTAGATGGCAGGCACTGAAAGTTTGTGGATTTAGAGTAACAACGTATCTGCAACTAGTCTGGGCAATGAAACCCTATCTGTTTGAGCCTGTGTATAGTTTGAATACATGGTTTACAGGTAATTAAAAGGCCCTTATCACTTCATGTTTTGGCTACTTAATCCTCACCTGTTCTACTCCATCCCACACCTGCTTCCAGGCTGATCTTCCTTAAAGCATAGCTTTGATGGGGTCACTCCCTAGCTCAACCCCCTCATTTTACAGATAAGAGACATTGAGACCTAGAAAGACTGAGTGATTTGAAATCATAGAATGAGAGATGGAAAGGATCTCAGAGACCATCTA